CGCCCCGGCGTGTTTTGGGGAGCGCACGCCTCTTTCGGGGCGCTCCCCCGGTACCTTCTGGCGCCCGGGGAACTTGAACTTGGCCCTGCGCAGAGCCTCCACCACGTGCTCCTTGTTCTGCGCCTTGGTGCGGATCGACATGATGACCTGGCCGATGTGCACGCGGGCCACGGTGCCCTGCGGCTTGCCGAAGGCGCCGCGCATGCCGGTCTGCAGCCTGCCGAGCGCGGGGGTCAGCGCCGCGCACCGCCACCGATCCACTCCAGCCCCCCCAAATGCTCCTGTCCCCCCGGCCCCTTGGGGCGCCCCGCGACGGCCACACCGGGCACCCCTACACAGCCGGGGGGGTCCCTGTGCGCAGCCAGGGCACGCCGGGGCCCCACGGCGAGGGGGGCCACGACCGGCTTAATTGGCTGCGGAACCCACCCCCTTCCCCAAGCTGCCCCCCAACGCCGGGTCCCCCCCGCGGACCTGTCGGCGCCGGCGCACGAGAGCATCTTGTTGATGCGGATGACGTGGAAGGGGTGCAGGCGCACGCGGATGTGGAAGCCGTCCTTGCCGCAGCTCTTCACCATGTACTTGTTGGCGCAGATGCGGGCGGCCTCCAGCGCTGCGGGACGGGGGGAACGTTTTTAGGGGGGGGGGAGGCGATAACGGCGAATCCCACCCGCGCTCCCTGGGAACGGGAAGGGGGCCCGGGCGCACCCTCGGAGCTGAGCTGCTCGTACTCGTCCGACACCATGTGGCCGCACAGCGGGAACTCGTCCACCTTGGCCTTCTTCCGGCCCAAGTCGAAGATGCGGATTTTGGGATCTGCGAGGGGAGGGGGGCACGGGGGGGGGTCAGGAGCAGCTCCCCAAAGCTGCAGGCTGCCCCTGCCGTCGCTCCAAAGGATGTGGGGATGGGGTGCCCCACGGCTTGTGCCCCCCCTCCCCGCAGGCACTCACCAGGGACCCCCCGGCAGAAGCGGGACTTGGGGTACGGTTTGTTCTTGCAGTATCTGTAACTGAGAGGGGAAAGGGGGGTAAAAGCCCAGCACCCCCAGGGGGCCTGGACCCCCCGCAGCCCCCTAAATACCCCTATAC